TTTCTCATTTCTCTGTCAGAGTACCTGATACTGCACTTATAAAAGATTCCCCTGGATGAGTAAGCACACTCTTCTGAAAATGCAAATAACATGGGGTGTGAGGTTAAGGACCAATAGTCATTCACATTCTGCTCGTAGGAGCTATAAAAGAATCTTAAAATGTTTGCCACAATTCCTTGTAAACTGAGGAATACTATAAGATCAGAATGGCAGGGTAAAGATCATAGATCGTAGAGTCATGCTGCCTGAGTCTGAATCCTAGCTGCACTACTAACAAGAGATACGAGTATGCAAAACTAACTTAAATTGTTTGGTGCCTCAGTTTCCTCACTTATAAAATGGGAATAGTTGAAACTACTCCGTAAGGTTGTTGAAAGGCTTAAATTAGTTACTTAAAACAATGCTGGAACTTGTTACTCCATTTTTGACCAAAATGGAGTAATAGGAGCTGAATTCATGCTCCTTCCTAAAAGAGCCAAAAACAAACAGAATATATAAAAATAACAATTTTCAAGACACAGAATATCAGGCAATGAAGGGCAGTGATCCCTGAGACATGGGAAACAAAAGAAGTCAGCCTTAAACTGCCCTCAATTTATTGCCTTGAAAGAGTTCCCAGGCCACAGTATAGGACGGGGGAGAGGGGAGAATCCAGGCAAAGCCTGCGGGACTCCCCAAGTTAAGAAGATGGACTTCAGTGTACGAGGAGAACAAAAGGGTGGCAACTTGCAAGATATAGTACCAGAAAGGAGAGCGCTGCACAGAAAAAAAGAAAAACAAAAAACAAAAAACAAAAACCATGGAGGTCAGCAGAGGGTCTCCTCAAGTATTAGCAGAGTAGCGATCAGCACATGCACATGAGGAAACTACATGAGGCCAGGGGGAAAAACCACCCAAAGGCATCAGAGTACAGCACACAGCACACACATGGGGCCAGGAATAGTGGCTACTGTCAAAAGGCAGACTGGAAATCCTCTTAATTCAGAGTAGTTGGTAGAATATTCAGAAGATTCTTACCTCAGCAGTAGGAAATAATTAGTTTTGACTGAACATTTCTCTGGTAAATGTGTAACAAAATTTAAAAGCAATTCTCAAAAAGATTAAACTATTTACAAGTAACTTAACTGCATCTCAGAACAAAGCTCAAAAATATTTATAGGAGAACGAAAATAGCTACCACCCAACAAGATAAAATTCAGAATGTCTAGAATCAAATCAAAGATTACCAGGCAAGCAAAGAAATGGAAAAATATGAATCATAATGGGGAAAACAAATAATCCGTTGAAAAATATGAATCATAATGGGGAAAACAAATAATCCAGATCTAACACAGATGTAAGAATCAACAGACAATGCCATTAATATTTACCATCATTGTCTTCTATATGTTTAAAAGTTAAGAAAAGACGTCAAAGATATATATAAAAAAGACCCAAATTGAACAGCTATACATGAAAACTATGTCTGTGATAAAATCAAATACACTGGATGAGATTAAAGATTAGACACTGGAGAAGAAAATACTAATGAACTTGAAGACACAGAAATTCTACAAAACAAAGTAAAGAAAGAAAAAAGATGTTAAAAAGTAAAAAGAGCATCAATGAACTATAGGAAAACTTCAGTGGCTAATAAATGTATAATGGAAGCCCCAAAAGAAGAGAGCAGAGTAGATGGAAAATGTGTTCTAGAAATAAGAGCTGGAAAAATTTCAAATTTCATGAAACTATAAACGCACCCATCCACGAATCTCAAGTAACCTCAAACACAGAAAATATGAAGAAATCTACACCATGGAACATATTCAAATCGCTCAAAAATAGTGACAAAGTAAAAATCTTAAAAGCAGACAGAGAAAAAAGATACATTATATTTGAAGAAACAAAGATGAGGACAGGGTTCTCATCAGAAACAATGCTAGCCAGGAGACATGGAGCAGCAGCTGTAAAGTACCAAAAAAAAAAAAAAAGTCAAATTAGAATTTTAGACTCAGTGAAACATCTTTCAAAAACAAAGGCAAAATGAAGAGTTTTTCACATATATAAAAGATGAAAGAATTTCATCCACAGCAGAACTGTACTATAGGAAATGTTAAAAAGAAGTCCTTCAGGCAGAAGGAAAATTTTACCTGATGGAAATATGGATCTGCACAAAGGAATGAAGAGCACGGGAAATTGTATCTATGTAAGTAAATATAAGACTTTCTTATTTACATCTTTTTAAAGGATTCTGTTTAAATAACAGCAATGCATTTTGAGGTTTGTAACATTTAAGTGAAAGGTATAAAAAATACTATAAAGACTAGGAGGGAAGAAGTAGAAAAATATATTTCTAAGTTTCTTATACTACACATAAAGTGGTATAATAGTGCCTGAAGGTTGAATGTGATAAGTTAAAGATATTTATACGATGTTAAGCAACCACTAAAATGACAGAACAAAGTTACAGCCAATAAGTTACCAAAGGAAACAGAATCAGTGAAAGAAATTCAATACAAAAGAAAATGGAGAAAGAGAACAAACAACAGGTGAGACAAAGAAAAAACAGACTGAAATATCTTGGTTTATGATTTAAAGCTTAGCTTAGAGGTTTAAAATCTAAACATAATAATCACATCAAATGTAAATGGTTTAAACACACCAATTAAAAGACAGATTGTTAGATTGGACAGAGAAGCAAGACTAATTATATGATGCCATAAGAAAGGTACAAGTAAGTGAAAAGTTAAAAAAAAAAAAAAGAAAGAAAGAAAAACATATACCACATTAACATTAAGCAAAAGAAAGTCAGAGTACTATCTTAACATTAGACTAAGTAGACTTCAGGCTAATAATACCAGGCAAAAAGAGGGCAAATTTTTGGCAATAAGTGAGTTAAATAATCAAGAAGACAAACAATCTTAAATGTTTGTGACCCTAATAACAGAGCTTCAAGACACATAAAGCAAAACTGAGAGAACTGCAAGCAGAAATGGACAAATTCACAAATATAGTAGGAGATTTCAGTTCTCGTCTCTCAATAAATAGTAGAATGAATAGACAGAAAACCAGTAAGGATGTGGGAGACTTAAAAAACACAGTCGACCAAAAAGGACCTGATTGGCACTGATACAATACTCCATTCAACAACAGCAGGATACAGTGCATGTTCATTAGTACACAGAATATTTTCCAACAGTCTAAATTCTGAGCCAAAAAACAAGTCTCAATAGATATAAAATAATTCAAATTATACAAACTACTTCTCTGACCACAACAAAATTAAATTAGGGATCCATAAGAGAGGTCTCCAGAAATCTTCAAATACTTAAATCCAAACGCACACAGAGAAGTCCGGAAGTCATCAGATACGAGCTTCCAGTAGTCTCTCTCAGAGGAGCTGTATGGATGGTACTTCGTTCTCCCAGCAACGTGTGACAACACAAGGTACTGCCAAGCAGGCAAGTTCCTCCAAACCTCGCTGCTGAGGATGATCACTGTGATCACCGGAGTCATCATGCAGGCAGGCACGCTGCAGCCACACCACTGACTTTGGCCACCCAGTCTCCAGCCTCTCCAGAGATCAAACTGATAAAGTGTGACTCAGGAATCCAGATAAACAAAAACAGGCATTCACCATAAATTACCTTGTTAGTATAAACTATCTGATGAGCACAAAGGCCCAAAGTATATAAAGACAAGCTTATCACCCAGGATATTCTAAGCATTTAGAGGTTTTCTCCCAGGAGCCAGTCCTTTCTTTGAAATGTGCAAGGTTTGAGCATCGCAAACCCTCTGAGTTAACGCTTTACTAAACAATAAGAAAATATCATGAACTTAATGCCAATACGTTCAACAACTTACATAAAACATATATCTTGAAAAAAAAATCTACCAAGTCACTCAAGAAGAAATAATCTGAATAGCCCTAATCCTATCAGATTCAATTTGTAGTTAAAGTTTCCCGCAAAGGAAACATCAATTGGCTTCATTGATAAATTCTACCGAGTATATTAGAAAGAATTAATACCAATGCTACACAAGTATTCCAGAACTGAAGAAAAGAAAATATTTCTCATTTGGTGAGACCAGTATTATCTTGAACCCAAATGAGGCAGACATTACACAAACCAAAACTACAGACCAATATCCCTCATGAACATATGCAAACATTCTAAACAAAATTTTAGACAATATGTAAAAGGCATAATATATTATGTCTAAGTAGCGTGTAACCCAGAAATGCAAGATAGGTGTACATTGGCTAATTCATCATTAACGATCTAAAAAGAAAAATCGTATTATCATTTCAATAGATCCGGAAGCACACAAGAAAATCTATTATCTACTTCTGATAAAAGTTCTCAGCAAACTAAAAATAGAAAGACGTTTCATCAATCTGATAAAGGGCATCTACAAAAAAAACTAAAGCTAACATCATACTTAATGGTGAAAGACTATGCTTTCACTCTAAGATCAGAAACGTGACAGAGTGTCCAATCTCACTTCTTTTATTCAACAAAGAAATAAAAGGCATGCAGATTGGAAGGAAAGAAGTAAAACTGTCATTTGCAGACAGCATGATCATCCACTAGGAATTCAATGGAATCTATCTTTAAAAACGCTGCTATAACTAAGAAGTGTTTATCACAATTAACAAACATAATTTTATTTCTATATAATAGATGCAAAAATATTGAAAACTGAATAAAAATGCTACATACAATAGCATCATGTTATTAACTACGTAGGGATAAATCTGATAAAATATGTGCAAGACCTACATACTGAAAACTATCGAATGTTGCTGAAATACTATTTTAAGGCCTTATAAAAAATAAAATGGCATCTTGATTCTAAACCTATTTTTAATGTTTTTCATTTACTAGCGAATGAGTCCATGGCTACAAATAGTTATAAGTAATAAACAGGGTTAATGTTTTTCATCATCATAGAAATTCATACTAGAAAAGACTCTCAGAATACATGAAATGTGAAAATGTTTCCACTCAATACTTAACTCGGAAAGGTTTCAATATTTATTTGAGTGCTTGGTAGGCATCAAACATCCTATTATACATGGGTGAATGAAAGCTGCATCCCCTGATCTTGTGAAGCTATTACCTAGTAAAGGGAAATAGAAAACAAACAAGTTAAAAACAGATGCAAATAATTTAGAAGTTGTAATTAGTGCTATGAAAGTAATAAAGAACAGATATGGGGCGGGGGGCGGGGGCAGTGGGGAACAGAGGTATTATCTGGATAGAGTGGTCAATGAAAGTTTAAGTACACATTCAGGTCAAAAGCTGAAGGAGAAAGAACCAGCCAGACAAGGGAAAGATCCTCAAAGTCAAATGGAACAGCATTTGGTAAAGCCCTGGGTAGGGAAGTAGAGCATTGGGGGAGAGGCTGGCATGCTCTAAAACCCCCAAAAAAGCCAATTTGGCTGCAGTATAAAGGGAAAGCGAGCCTAATGGTCATGGAAGAGAGATAAGCAGGGGTCAGATCATGGAGGCTCACACAAGAAATATTCAAAGCGCAGCAGGAAGCCATTTTACAGTTTTAACCAGGCTACAGACATCAGATTTTAATTTTTTAAAAGATTACTCTAGCTGCTATGGTGAAGAATCAACTGGAGGCAATATAATAATCTTAAGTTGTCACAGATGGTCCCTTTTGCCATAACACATAAAAATGCTGAATATGTAACATGTTTTTTATTTAAAAGAAAAAAATACATCACAGAACTTAAAAGAAAGCAGAAAGAGAAATCCAAGGTGGACTCTACCTGCATATAAGCTCTGGGAGCTGAGTATCCTATACACATCTGAAGACAAGACCACTGAAATGAATTTCAAAGTCTGGAAAGCATGGTCCATGTGATAAGAGAGTATTAGAAAAAAAGCCTATTGTTCCGGAAAGGCAGTAAGGAAGAATGCTGTGAGTGGCAGAGTAGTATTTAATATGTATATTTTGTATATATAACATATATATGTAATATATATACGTAATATATATACGTAACAGCACCCACAAAAAAAATCTCCGACACCTTTATCATACATGGGAATGAGATCCAAATTTATATCACAAGTTGAAAAAATTACTTTAAATCTGGTTTAAAGCAACTGAAACTTCTAGAAGCCCAGAAAAACCAATCTGTAGAGATAGTCTCTTAATCCAAGGTTCAGAGGACTCTGACAGAACAAATAACTTTGAAGCTCCTAATAAAATGCTACTTAAAGAAATCAGTCACCAGGAAGGAGAGCCAACAGAAAAAAGGAAAAAAAAAATTTATAACCTTGCAAACTAGAAATTACCATTTTACACAAGTGACCCTATTTTTTTACTATAATCTCGCTCACGCTTTGGTTTTCATTCAGAGGGTAACACAAAACCTTTTAAAATACCATAATATCCATGTCTATTAAGATTGTTGATAGTTCTTGAAATTCACCCAGGGAGCTAAAGAAAGTTTATCTATAAAATTTAACATGAGGCATACAACATGGTTCATTTTTATTAGATGGAACTAGATAACTGCTGTCTATAAATGGGAAACTGAATTAACTACCAGACTACTACTGATCCCCATCTACCATTTTGTAGCTAATCTGTCTAATGTATTTAGTCTATCTTCAAAAATGGGATGTATCTGTCTTCTTCAACCCTTCTGAATGGCATTTAACTTTTAAACGCTAGAAAAAATGAGTCCACATTTAAAATAAAACATTTGTGCACACCCAACTTTCACAAACCACTTTAAAGTTTAAAGGGGAATTCCAAACATCCTTCCCCTGTGATCACCTGTTTAAAACCGAAATACTCATTTAGACTCTTTCCTTGGTGTGGTATTTTACTTTGTCTTCTCCTGTATTTCAATTTGTTAAAAATATTGACACAATAAAGTCGAAAGCCGCACCTGGTATTTTAAAATGTAAGCCCAAATAAAAGGGTTTTTGAAGCGCTAAATAGAAAAGAAACCGGAAAAATGGAATAACCGGTCTCTCTTAAATTATCCTGATCAGTATGCTTTTTGACAACGTCTGCATCTTTTAATCTTCGAAATCTTGCTAAATTTGAGAAAATGGAAGCCCAGAGAGATGTGAGTGTTCGAGGTTAAAAACAAACAAAAAAACAGAATAAAACCAGGACTCCAGGCGGGAGACGCCAAAGGAATGTTTGCCCATTTCCCAGGGCCGGCGTTTCACACTGGCTTCTCGAGCCATAAAAACAAACGAGAGGTCGTTTTTAAGGGGACAGCTTTAGACATCTCTTAGGAGAAAGGTTACAGATCAGCCAAAACCACCCACAAAACATCAAAAACCCCACTCGCAATCCACAGAAATCTGGGAGCCGCTAGGCCGGCGGGTGACCTCGCAGAGGAACCCTGTTACACGTGTCTGCTCCCTTTCCATTAATCACAACTCCGTCCTCTGAGATGTTTCTTCATAGCTAAACACCTAAATCTGAACATTCTCTCGAGTCAACCCGCAGCACAACTCCAGCGCGGTTCTGAAAGGAACCTCCCCAGGTACACACCTCAGAAGCACCAGGTAGAGGGCTCCGCCCCAGTGAACTTACCGAGGACCCCGAGGGCAGCTACGTCCGCCCTTTCCCGCCACCGACTCGTGGCCACTTCCTACCTGCCTGTTTATCTCCACCTTTATCCCCGTCGCTATTTTCCCACTTACCTCTTGAAGCGATGAACCCAACGAGTGTATGAGACAGAAGAGAACGCAGAGCCGGGTCAGGGAGAAGGAACATCTGTGTGGCCAAGGTTTCCTCGGTGGCGTGTCAGGCACCGCTGGGGGCAGCCTTGGGGAGAGCTGCAAGACGCAGGGGTCCTCGTGGCCCAAGCTCGTCGCGCTGATTGGTTGGCTGCCGCGGCCGGAACCCGGATGTGCCTGTGTGGTCGTGTTGGCAGTCGGGGCTCCGAGGTTTGGGCGTTCTGGGGGTGCTGGCAGCCCGGGCGGATGGCGCGGGGTTGGGCTGGCTTCTCTGAGGAGGAGCTGAGGCGACTGAAGCAGAATAAAGGTAACGGGATGTGCCCGCGGAGGGTTAGTTCTTGGGTCTGTCACGGGGAAGGGGCGGGGCTGCAGCCTTCGAAGGGAAGGGGGCGGGGAGGAGGGTACTGTGTGTGCGATAGGGGACGGGGCTCTAAGTGGCAGGACGGCACCGCCGGGTTCCCTGAGGTGGATGTACTGGGAACCGTGACGGGAGGGGCGGACTGAGACCTTTTAGAAAAGAAAGTTCAGGAACCCATTTCAGGGATTTAATTTTTTTTTTTTTTTTCCTGTGAAAGGGATGGGACTTGGGAGAGGAAGCACGCCTACAGCCTGCTTGTCTCTTCCAGGAGGATTGCTGTATAGATCAGGGGTTGGAGGGTTGGAGTCAGGGTGAAGGAAGGAGGGGCACACATCATCTTAGAATTGTAATGCATTTATAGCAGCAGATAATGACTGAGAAAGTGGAAGCACAGGTCTTAAATGCAAAACGTCGGTGCTTTTCATAATACATCTGGCGTCTTGGCATTCACTTCTGGTTGCCAGATGATTTTTGCAGTTCTTTCCAGTTCTTGAGAGTTAGCAAACCATAGGGGTCTTCGAAAGGTTAGGTATGAAATGTGTACACACACACACACACACGTTTAAGCCAAAATTTTGTGCTTCCCTTTTTGGCTTTATAATCATTGAATGAACCTGCACTATTTTGTCATCTTTTCATGAGGGAACTAAGTTTGCTGATACTTTGTGAGAAACTCATGGAGATATAAACTATGCTTTGTGGTTGAAATTTTATAAAATTTGTATGGTGAGCCTGGTAGTGCACACCACTACTGAGCTTACACCACTCTTGGTACCATAACTGAAACACTTTACCTTAGGAGAAAATTAAATAAACTGCCATGCTTTTTATTAGAGTTTGTGAGAAAATTGGCTTGCTCAGGTAGGCCTGTGCATTATATGTGAGGATCATCTAGGGCTGACAGGTGGGAAAGGAAGTAAATTAGTAACACAGGACCAGTGTAGCTAGTATACATTGAGGATATTTTGACTGGTCCAGAGGCCTTTAAGATATAAAAGTTACTCTACAGTGTGTAGTTACCTGACTCTGTCTAGCTTAATGTTCTCAAATTCTCTTGCTCTGTATTTTCAACATCCATTCATTTATTCAGATGTACAGAGAACAAGTACTCCTGCTTCTGGTCTGACCTGAAGGTACAGGTATCAGATTTTACAGTAGAGATGCCAAAATGAACAAGGCATTATCCCGGCCTTTAAAGAGTTTCTAGTCTAGCAAGTTGACAAATTATAATATGTGATAGTAGATGTTGTACAAGAGCTTGTTATCAAGCCAGCAGGGGAAACAGGGGGTTGGGTGGAGCTTGGGAAGGTATCATAGAGATTATGTTTAAGTGGAGGTGAGTTTGCCAGGGGAAAGACTTCACGTAGAAGTCTAAATTAAACAATAGATTCATTATGTAGGAGTACATTTCTAAGTATCTCTACAGTTTGGGATACAGAGAGGGGTGGAAGGACCTTAATTTCAAGGCCTGTCATTTCAATTCTGGATGTTAGAGCATAGACACCAATCCATTAATCTGTGATCACCTTGAGGACAGAGGAAACATCTTAGCATCTTTGTATACTCATAGCCAAACACAGTGATTGGCATATAGATCTCACAGCTCTGCCTGTAAATATTTTTGCTTTGGATTTCTCTTTTGTAAAACTAGAAGAGCTGCATGTTTAATTTTTAAGGTTCCTTTCAGCTGTTCTCCAACTGTAAAAATATAACTAAGTAATCTATGAAAATGGAGTTTGTTACCAGCAAAAATAGGTACAGTACTCTAGAGAAACCCATATGTGCATTGGTGAAGGTCAAGAATGTTATTAACACTGGTTTATAATATTAAAAAGCTGGCAATAAACCAAGTGTTCACCAACAAGGGAGTGGATAAATACAGTGTGGTATATATAAGCACCCAGTGGGCTGCTGTACAACCAGTGGAACTATATGAACTGTAGTCACATGCATTAATATGTATAAATTTCATGAATACAATGTATGAAAAGAGCAAGTTGCAGAAGATTATATACAGTCTAATTCCATTTATAGAAGGTCAGAATCATACAAAACAGGTATATTCTTTTAGGAATCTAGGAAATCTATAAAGGGAATGGAATGAAACAAAATTCAGTGTGGTGGGGAGGCAAGGGATATGATCAAGGAGGGGCAAATATGTAAGGAATTTTGAAGGTAGTGGTCATTAGTATATCAGGTTGAACCAAGTTAAGCTGCAGTAACAAATAGCTCTAAAATATCAATTGTTTAAAATAATAAAGATTGATTTTTTCACTCTAGCTATATGTCTATCCTGAGTTGGCAGGTGACTGTTCCTCACTATGCTTTGGTGCTATCATGTAGGAGTTCACTGTGGCAGGAGGAGAAGGTTGAGAATTGAGCATTAGTAATAAAATACTTCCACTGGTAAGTGACAGGTACCACTTCTACTTCCATTTTACTTAACCGAAGCAAGTCTATGGCTTGAAGGACAGGAAATACAATTACCTTGTGTGGTCCAAAAAAGGGTAACATTCTATCCTTGAACAGCAGTTATGTCTACTATAGTCATGTTGTATTTGTTAAACTATATTGTTACTTTTTTTATAATCCTGATAGGTTGGATTTTGTATGTGTGACGTGTATTATTTGATGTATGACTTATTTAATAATTAAAAAATGGAAATAAAAAAGCAGTGCAGCTACAATGCTTTAATTGTGTTTTTCTAGTTGTTGCTAACATGAAAAAATACAAACAAACCAAAAGAAAAATTGACGAAAGACATGAATAGATATTTCTTAGAAAAGGAAATTTGAAGAGATGCTTATCACCATCAATAAGCAGAGAATTGCAAATCAAGAGTACAGTGAGGTACTACTACATACTTATATACCTGTTTGATTGACAGAAATAATAAGTCCTTTATCAGATGTCTGTTGCAAATCATTTTCTCCCAGTCTGTGAGTTGTTTACTCATGCCCTTGATGTTGTCTTTTGCAGAGCAAAAGTTTTAAATTTTAATGAAGTTCAGCGTACCACATATCCTTCATGGATAGTGCCTTTGTGATATATCTAAAAAGTCATTGCCATACCGAAGACCATCTAGGTTTTCTCCCATGTTATCTTCTTGGAGTTTTATAGTTTTGGGTTTTGCACTTAGGTCTGTGATCTATGTTGAGTTAATGTTTGTGAAGGGTGTAAAGTCTGTGTCTGGATTTATTTTTCTGCATGTGGCTGTCCATTCTAGGATCGTGTGTTGAAAAGACTGCTCCGTTTTATTACCTCTTCTCCTTTGTCAAAGATGAGTTGACTATATTTATGTGGGCCTGTTTCTGGGCTCTCTGTTCCCTTCAGTTGATCTAATTATCTGGTTTTTCGCTAATACTCACTGTCTTGATTACAATAGCTTTATAGTGAGTCTTGAAGTCAGGTAGTTTCAGTCCTTCAACTTTGTTCTTCTTAAATATTACGTTGGCTATTCTGAGTCTTTCGTTCCTTCATGTAAACTTGAGAATCAGTTTGTCAGTATCTACAAAATGACTTGCTGGAATTTTGATCGCGATTGCTGTGAATCTATAGATCAAATTGTATGACTGACATCTCGACATTATTGAATGTTCCTATCCATGAACATGGAATATCTCTCCATTTATCTAGTTTCTTGATCTCATTCATCAGAGTTTTGTAGTTTTCCTAATATAGATCTTGTACATATTTTGTTAGATTTATACCTAAGGTTTCTTTTCTTTTTTTTTTTTTTTTGAGTGCTAATGTAAATGGTATTGTGTTTTTAATTTCAAAATCCACTTGTGATTGCTGGTACATAGAAAGTAATTGACTTATATATTAATCTTCTGCAACCTTGCTATAATGGCGTATTAGTTCCAGGAGTTTTTTTGATCATATATTTTATTTCTGGTGGCCTGATTTGATTATTGTTTGGGAGTTTAAAAATGCGCATTATAAATCTCATAGGTAGGTTCTGTGAAAATGCAAAATAAAATGGAAGCCACAGTACAGAATTTGAGAGTCACTGTTATTAATTCATCTAATGAGTATAACTGGATGGTCAGCAGGCCCATTGACATTTTCTCATGCTGCAACTAAAGATAGGTAGCCAAGAATAAGATCCTTTTGCAAGATACAGGAGACTACTTTGTGTTTCTGGCTAAAGTCAACAATAATAACATTTTACTATTGATAGTACATTTATCTTTTTAAAATATATATTTTTTACATATATGAGTTAAATTCTCCAGTTGTCCTTACGAGGTTAATGTTGGCATGGACAATACAAAAAGTATAATAGAAGTATTATTATTTCATTTATAATTATTTTTAAAAATTGCTCTGAGTACTTCTATCTTCCTCTGTTGCTTTGCTCAGGCTGCTATTGAAGTTAGCTTGAGTACATTCATTAAAGGCTAAATAGACTTTGGGAAACACAACCTTGGACTATTGTGGAAGGTGAAAGAAAACAATTTAGGGTAAACTAACATTCCTAAAATAAGAAACCTCATTCAGTTAGTCTTTGTGTATAGCATCTACCTATGTATCAAATTGCCCTAAGATTTGTTAAAATTTAAGAGAGGTGAAGCCCATTTGAAAACTCAATCACTATTTTATTTCAGGAAAGCAGATACATTCATTAATCAAATTTAAGACATATCTGAGAATTCATTTGTCAATCTGGCTTTGCCAGCTTAGTTATCTTTTTTTGATGGTTATCAAATCAAATTGAAAAAGAAACTTTGCTTTGTATCCTAAGACCTAACTCATTGACAGATGGACTTTCCTGAAGATAAATTGACAACTAGGACAGTTTTTGTTAAATATTAACAGTATGATCAAAGACCTATTGACATTCTTCAGGAAGATGGCTGTTTTCCCCTTAGTTTTTAAGTCAGAGAAAGGGAGACCATATAGAATTACTATCAAAATTTAATGTTAATCTTTTATTAGAGAAATTGTAATTATTTGCTGTCCACACAAAAGCATTGGCCTTCATTTTCTTTTTGCTATAGATCCATTTGAAGCACAGCGGCGTCTCTCTGCGAAGAAAAGTCGACAACAGCTTCAGCGAGAAAAAGCCCTTCAAGAACAAAGCGAAAAACTTGGACTTCAAGATGGATCGACCTCATTACCTCCAGAGCAGCTGCTTTCAGCCCCAAAACAGAGATTTAACACTCAAAAGCCACATTTTTCTCTCCCTACTCCTCCTAGTCCTCTTACGCTCACCTCTCCTGTTGGTGTTGGAAAACCACAGGGTGTTGAAAGTCAACCAAGGGAGCTGGGACTTGAGAATTCCTATGACGGTCACAAAAATGCTGAGGTTCTACCTCCAAAGCCAGATTGCAAAATGGAGAAAAAGAAAGTGGAATTGTTAGTAAGTCTATGTATCCATGAGACTTTTTACCATTTTACCTCTTTTTCCCATTGGGTTTTGAAGAAAAGTAATTTTAACATTTTCTCTGTTTTACATTTTAACCTAGAAATGAGATAAATAAATTATTGAAAAATAGCTACTGCCTAAATATATATCATAAGCCAGTCAGTGTTAGGCATTTTGTATGTTTTATGTCATTTAGTCTTCACAACATCCTTACAATGCATGTTCATTATTTTCACCTTACAGATGAGCTATCTTAGATTCAGATAAGCTGTTGTATTCCCAAAGCAAATATGAAGCTAATAAATAGCAGAGATGGGGGTCTCAGAATTCAAAGTCTATGCCCTTTACACCACCAGAAGCGTTTGTGATATGCATAGTACTCCTCTCCAAATTGAATCTGTTCTTCAACTTCCAGATTGCATCTTCGTTGACCCAGAAAAGGGTACTTGGGAAGAGACATGTAGAAATGGTCAAAAGAAAATGTAGGGAATCGAAGGGACTAATTAAATAATTCAGTTGCATAGTTAGATTTCTTTTTAATCCTTATTTAATATGTATGTATTTTAAGCCACCTCTAGAATTTAGTTTAGCTGCATTATTGTGGAAATTGCTACTCTACGACTTATCAGTTCATGTAATCAGAATTTTTTACTGTATGGTTTATGTTTTAATATCTAAGTTGTTTTTTTTTTTGTAGGGAAGAAAGGATGGCATTTGTTCCTGTTTTCCATTTTCTGAGTCTTTGTTATTCAAAGTATCTTACATTTTTTCTAATCAGGTATTTTTCTAATCTCTGCTGATCTTGATTCTGTACTTTGAGTTTAAAGTATTATCTGCACACCAGGGATTTATAACCAAGAAATCATTTTGACAGGAAATAGAAAGCTGCATGAATAATGAGACCAACTTGGAACAAGTACATTTAAATGTCTTTAGGTGTAGTTTAAGTGTAATTTACCAACAAAGGCCTGAGACAAGTTGGGGGTGGGTTTGAATTGAGCAGGACAATTTAGATTGAATGTGATGAGAAAAATTATTCTGTTTTTAGGTACTTGGGAAATTTTTCATAGAAGACGTAATATCATGTTGTTGAAATGGAGAAATCTTGAGGCAACAAAATGGGGAACAAATCTGTAGCCCAGAGAATGCTCAGAGATGACATCTTACTTCTTTGACAGAGGCAAAGAATAGGCCAGAGAATAGTAAAGAATTAAGATTGTGAAGAAGGACTTTGAAGTAGATGATTCCTGTCTAGTGAGTTCCCTGATGCAGTATTATACCACTGAGGCCTCTGAAAGAGAGGCCCTAAGCAAAGTGTAATGGTTAGAGAAAATCCAGGTGGCAGTGTTGCAGACCATTTGAAATTCAGTGCTGAGTGAGTTGAACTTAGGCATCTGGTAAGGAGATACGATGCCTGCAATAGTAAAAATGAGAAAGGACCAGTATCAGTACTAAGGTGGAGGCGGTAGGAATGGAGGAAAAAAGGATTTTTTTAGATGTGGTTACTATCTTTGGGAATAGAGATTTTTGATATAATGGCTGTAAGAAATTAGGAACGAAGAGCTTTGTCATTACCTTGTTTAATTTGAATTGACATCAAGTTCTTGAATTAATGGGAGATTTTAATATACTTCTTTCAGAATTGGACAAATAGGAAGACAATTCATGTTTTCAGTTCTTTGAAGTTTTCCTTTAACCTAGCATTCAAGTTTTAGCTCATAGTATCTCACTCTGTTTAAAAATGTTTAAGAGCTGAAAAGAAGTGAGCAAATAGAAAGAAAATGAATGTACTAAACATTTGGTTATTGTCCTAACGGTGTTACATGGTAGGGACTTCCATTGTAGGAAACTCTGGAGTCACTTCTGTTCAAGGTGGCAGAATAGGTAAATTCTGTACTCTCCTCTCATGATCACAAAAGAATTGCAACTAAACTATAAGACAGCCGTCATTGAGAACCACCTGAAGACTAGCTAAACAGAAGTCCTATCACTAAGGATATAAAGAAGAAGCCACATCAAGACAGATAGAGGAAGAGACTCAGAATGGGCAGGTCCCACACCATAGTGTGGTAATTAAGAATTGGGAGGGAATCTCAGCTGCGGAGGTCCCCCTTGAGGAGCTAGGGGTCTCAGCCTCACACCCTGCTCCCTAGCCTGGGGTACCAGTGCCTGGAAGAAGAGTCCTCATAACATCTGGCTGTAAGAACCAGTTTCGAGTGAGTCAGCTGCTCGAGTCCCAGGCAGTCTTCTTGAGGTCGCGCATGGACTTGCTCACAGATTCACTTGCTCTAAGTTGGCAGGAGCAGCAGCTCAGAAAGCACCAGGGGCATTTGAGGAAGAACTGAATTGACTAGCTTCAGGGCGAGGGCTGGAGGTGCAGGGGTCAGGGCAGCTATCTCCCAGGACGGAAGTACTGTCAGGCACTATTGCCTCTTTGTTGAGCCCTACCCCTACCCAGCCAGCAGGTGCAGGCAGATTCCAAATCTGGTTTCTCAGTAGAAACCTTGCAGGCCAGAAGAGACAGGCGCGATGAAATATTCAAAGTGATGAAAAGTTAAGACCTACAACCAAGATTACCCAGCAAGGCTATCATTTAGAATCAGAGTTTCCCAGACAAGAAAAAGCTAACGGAGTTCATCACCACTAAAACATTATTACAAGAAATGTTAAAGGGACCTTTTTAAGTAGAAAAGATTTTTAAAAATGTGAATAAAAAAACATAACAGTGAACAAAATTCTCACTGACAAATGTAAAAATTTAGTAAAAGCATTGGATTGACCAGCATTAAAGTATGCACAAAGGTTAAAAGGTAAAAGAAAAATCATCTGTAATTACAACAATAAATCAAAAGGTAGACACAAAAGAAGTAAAGGATGACAAAACATGGAGGAGGGTAGTAAAAGTGGTAGTGATTTTAGAACATGTTCGAAATTATGCGACCATTTACTTAAAATAGACTGCTATAAACATAGGTTGGTATATATGAAGCAGATAATGACCATAAAAATCTACAAGAGATCTACAAGAAATGGAAAGGAATCCAAACACTAGAAAGTCACCAACATACAAGAGGAGAGCAAGAATAAGGAACTGCAAAAATAAGACAAAATATCAGTAACTACATACCTCTCAATAATTAAATGCAAATGGATTGAACATTCCAATCGAACAACATACTGTGGCTTAATATCTGAAAGAGCAAGACTCATATATATGCTGCCTACAGGAGACCCACTTCAGATAGAAAGACACACTGAAACAATGGAAAAAAATTTTCAAATGGGAATGAAAAAAAGCTGGGATAGCAATACTTGGACAAAATAGACTTTAAAACAAGGGCTGTAACAAGACAAGAACATTTTATAATCATAAAGGGATCAATCTAACAAGAGGATATAACTCGTAAACATCTCTGCACCCAATGCAGAAGCATGTAAATATATACAGTAAATATTGAGGGATTTAAAGGGAGAGAGAAAAAATAGCAATAGGAGGGGATTTTAATAGATCAAACAATATGCACAATGAACCAGTGGCCTTAAATGACACATTAGATGAGATGGATTTAATTGATAATCTTGGGACATTTCACCAAAAGCAGCAGAGTATACATTCTTTTCAAGTGCACATGGAACATTTTCCAGGGTAGACCACGTTAGGCGACAAAACAAGTCTCAAATTTAAGAAGATTGAAATCTTACTAAGTATCTTCTCTGATTACAGTGATAGAAACTAGAAATCAACTATAAGAAGAAAAAAATATGTAGAGGCTAAATAACATGCTACTAAACAATAAATGGCTTAACATCAAGGAAGAAATCAGAAGATAACTTTTGAGACAAATGGAAATGAAACGCACCCACCCAAAACCAATGGGATACAGCCAAATCAGTTCTAAGAGGGAAAATTTATAGCAATACAGGTGTACCTCAAGAAGCAAGAAAAATCTCAGGCTAGCTTTACATCTAAAGGAAGTACAAAAAGAACAAAGCTCAAAGTGAGTAAAAGGAAAGAAATAATAAAGGCCAATGAAATAGAATCTGAAAAACAGTAGAAAAGGTCAATGAAACCAGGAGCTGCTGCTTTGAGAAGATTAACAAAATTGATAAACCTTTAGCCAGACTCATCAATTAAAAAAGAGAGAGTCCAAATAAATCAGAAATGAAAGAGGAGAAGTAACAACCAACACCACAGAAATACAAAGTAGTATAAGGAAATAACTGCAAACAATTGCATGCCAACAAATTGGACAACTTGGAAGAAAAGGGTAAATTCCTGGAATATACAGTCTTCCAAGGCTGAATCAGGAAGAAACAAAATCTGAACAGATTGATAACTACTAACAAAATTGAATCAATAATCAGATGGCTTCACAGGTAAATTTTACCAACATTCAAAGAGTTAAATACCCATCCTTCTCAAACTATTCCAAAAAACTGAAAAGGAGGGAAAGATCTCAGACTCATTTTACGAGGTCAGCATTACCCTCATAACAAAACCAAAGATACCACCAAAAAAAAAATTAGAGGCAAATATCCATGATGAAAATCTATGCAAAAATCCTCAAATTAGCAAATTATATTCAGCAATACATTAAAAGATCATACACCATGAACAATGGGATTTATTCCTAGGATGCAAAGTTGGTTCAATATTGACAAATCAGTTAACATGATACACCACATAAAATGAAGGATAAAAATCAGATCTTATCAATAGATGTATTTTACAAAATCCAACATCCATTTATGATAAAAAAAAAAAAGTGTGAATAGAAGGAACATACCTCAACATAGTAAAGGCTATATATGACAAATTCACAGTTAAGATCATACTCAGATGAGATAGAACACTAAAGATTCCACACACACACACACAACAATTAAAAGCAAAGAATTCAGTAAAGTAGCAGTATAGGAAATTAATATTCCAAAATCAGCATTTTCATACACCAGTAACAAACTATCAGAGAAATTAAGAAAACAGTTCCATTTAAAATTGCATCAAAAAGAACAAAATAACTTAGAATACATTTAACCAAGGAGATAAAAGACCTGTACTTGGAAAGCTTATAAAACACTGAAGAAAGAAATTGAAGAGGATATAAATAAATGGAGAGATATACCATGCTCATAGATAAGAAGAATTAACATTGTTTAAATGTCCATACTACCCAAAGTAATCTCCAGATTCAGTGCAATCCCTATCAAAATACTAACGGCGTTTTTCATAGAACTAGCACAAATAGCCACAAAAGACTGAATAGCCAAAGCAATCTTCAGGAAGAAAAGCAGTTGGGATGATCACACTACCTGATTTCAAACTATACTACAAGGCTATAGTAAAGTAATCAAAACAGCATGGGACTGGCATAAACACACACACACATACATATGGAACAGAGTAGAGAACCTAGAAATAAATCCACGTCTATATAGTCACTTATGACAAAGGAGGAAAGAATTACAATGGAAAAGAGTCTCTTCATTAAATGGTGTTGGGAAAACTGGGCAGATACATGCAAAAGAATGAAACTGGATCACTTATACCATATACAAAAGTAAACTCAAAATGCATTAAAGACAAATGTAATACCTGAAACCATAAAACTAGAAGAAAATATAGTCAGTGGACTCTTTGACATCATTCTTTGTAATACTTTTGGATATGTCTCAGAAGAAAAAATAAGTGGGACTATATTAAACCGAAAATATTTTGCACAATGAAGGAAACCATGGACAAAACAAAAAGGCAGCTTACTGAATGGGAGAAGATATTTGCCAATGGCAAACCTATTAAGGGGTTAGCATGTAAAATATATAAAGAATTCGTACAACTTAACACCAAAAAAAAAAAAAAAATCCCAACAACAGACAATCTCATTAAAAAATGGGCAGAGTACCTGAATAGATGTTTCTCCAAAGAGGACATAGATTGCCAACAGAGACATGAAAAGATGCTCAGCGTCACTAATCATCAGGGAAATGCAGGTTAAAACCACTTTGAGATATCGCCGCACACTTATCAATAAATCAAACAAATGTTGCCAAGAATGTGGAAAAAAGGGAACCTTCATGCACTCTTGGGATTGTAAATTGGTGTAGGCACTATGGAAATAAAAATGATAGCTACCTTATGGCCCACTTCTGTGTATTCAAAGAAATCCAAAACATTTACTCAAAAAGGTACATGCACCCCCATGTTCACTGCAGCATTATTATAATAGGTAAGCTATGGAAACATCCTAAGTGTCTATCAAGTCAAATGGATAAAGAGCGGTATATATATAGAATGGAATGTTACTTGGCCATAAAAAAAGAGAAATTTTGCCATTCACAACAACATAGATGGACCTTGAGAGTATTATGGTAAGTGGAATAAGTCAGAGAAAGACAAATATGATTTCACTTACATGTGGAATCTAAAAAACAAATGAGCAAACAAAACAGAAACTTGTAGATACAGAGAATAAATTGATGGTCGCCAGATGAGAGACAGGTTGGGAAGATGGTGAAAAAGGGGAAGGGATTAAGAAGTACAGATGAGCAGGTATAAAAATAGTCATGGGGATGTGGAGTACAGCACAGGGACAGTAGTCAGTACAGTAATAATGTGTCAGACGGGTAGTAGACTTATCAGGATGATGACTTTAAGTTACATAAATGCCTGATCACTTTTTTACACCTGAAACTAATAATATTGTATGTCAACTGTAAGCAAAATTTTGTAATTAAAAAAATGAAAATAAATGCACATTCAATCTGAAAAAAACTTCTAGGCATAGAAAGAAGTAGGAAATTGTGACACATAAGAGGAAAGTCATCAAAGAAAACAGACCCACAAATGATGGGAATTATCAGGCAAAGAATATTTAAACAGGTATTATAAATATGTTTCATGTGTCTAAGAGTGTAGAATATGAAGTGATTTAATGATTAAATTATTAAATGATTTAAAAAACCCTAAAAATATATAACAACATTAGCTACAGATTGATTTATTTTGCTCTTCATTTTGCATAGGATACATAATAAACTTATACAAGTTTCTTTGTACTCCTAAAAAATGCCACTATTTTGACTTCCAGTTTGTGGGTTCTTAGATTATATACATATAATAGATTTCAAAGGGCCACTTTCTGTAAGCCTAAGCCTTCTTTACTTCAAATCATAGTCTTTGTTCCTATTAGAACAAAATAATGAGCTGCAGATGGGTTCCTTTTAAGAGGATTTTTGAAAGAGTATATACATAATCTGGTTGATTGAATTTTACATGTAGGAGACAGGACTGGTAATGTGTGGGGTGGGGTTTTAAAACTAATTTTTATACTTTTTTTTTTTGCTCCCCAGGCACGAAAAATCTCGTTGGGAAGTCCTCCAACAAGAACAACGGCTAATGGAAGAGAAAAATAAACGTAAGAAAGCTCTTTTGGCTAAAGCTATTGCAGAAAGGTGAGACACCTGAACCAGAAGAGGTTGTTTGTAACCTGCAATCGGCTGTCATGTTTTATATTTATTTTCCATTTCTTTTCTAATAAATTAACATTTTCTCTACAACCAATATTTTAAGACTAACTAAACAAATTGTGCTTTTTAAATTATACTGAAAGTTCAGTGTTGATTTATTAAGGAGGACTTTTTAAGCATATATCATAACAGATTTATGAATACAGGTGCAATTAAAACAAGAACTTAGCATCAGAGTTTTCACTATTACTCATCTACTCATGCATGATGGAGCAGCTAACAGCTATCAATATAAGTAAATTAGGAACAAGCGCAGGTTTTAATTTGGACATAAGGAGGTCATCAGCTGGCATTTAGAGGAGTAAGATTATTCCACAAACGTGACTTAAACTCCCACAAATCTTAATTATGTTTCCTATGGACAATTCTCTTAATTTACCCTGCCCCCACCGATAGAAGATACTTGATATGATTTAACCTTTTATCGATGACTCGGATCACCATGACGAGCACTGTCCATGCTGCGTTCAGTTCAGTTTCTCCCCTCCTAGTGTCAGGTTAACTGTCAGCCATCCCTTTTCTTTACTGCATTGTCCTGCCCTCGAACGGCAACATGCCTGTTTGAGCCACTGTTCCCATCCCTCACCGCTCTTTCTGCCCTTTTTGTTTGTAGTTTCTCCTGTGCTGTGGCCTTAGAAAACCAAGCTCAGTCAATAAAACAATAACTGAGAGCAGCAAGAACTACATACAGACAAGTATTCAGTGGCATTTTCTTTTTAGATCTCTAGAAAAGTCTGGCAAAACTATAATTGATTGAAGCTGGCGTGTGTGTCGAGAGGGAAAGTAAAAGGGATGTAGAGAAAGTCAGATGGATATAAGAGTAACAGAATTTTATCTGCCAAAGGGATATAGTATGAATTTGAAAATGATTTATTTTCTTCTCCTACTGGTATATCTTGATCTTTCATGAAGCATAGGTAATATGCAACTTACTGAACTTATGTTTCAAGAAAAAAAAGTGATTATTGGAAGCATTTTAGTAGTCTTCAATTTGGAAAAGGTGGTTTTCTGGGGATTTTACAAAAAGATTTACAGGCTTAGTGCTTGTTCTGCTCTATGTGCTTTAGAATTAGGACAGAAAGCACTGATATAGACATAAATGTAAGAAAATGAAACCTGGTTAGATTATTAATGAATAAACACCGAAGTATAGTACTTGAAGTAAATGAATCGTACTATTAACTTTTATAGGCAGAAAACAAGGGTAAATGCATAGAGTAGAAATCGAGAAAAAATTGCAATATTCTGGTTTTATGTGGGAGTTTTATTCTGTGAGAATGTGTGCAATTTTGAAATGAGTGAAATCACAATTAGAAGATTGGCTTTCGTCTTTGTTTATTCTTGTTTTTTAAATGTGTAATGTATTTGGGAATGATGAAGGGACTAAGAGATGGTGAAATTGGATGTGCTTTTAAACAAGAAAAAAACTATGCTTCGTTTTGAGCCCCAGACAGAAAAATTTTGAGGACCTGTAGTTTTGCCTAAATAACAAGAATCAAAGCAATAAAAGATTGGGGAAAATGAGTCCTGAGAATGTTAAAACCTAAGAGACGTTTTTAGACATATAATGAAATAGTGTTTAATGCAGGCATCTGTTGTTGGTGTCCACTGGGTATCAGACAAATGCGAATGGGCTTATTAGCAAAAAGAAATTAAGGCTGGAGATTTGGAAAGCTGTGTTCAGTGTCCCAATGTAAAGAGAATACAGATATAGTCTTTTATTGCTTATTCTCGTCCTTGTGGAATAAATATAGACCTCCAAATGAACTGTTTATTGATGTATTTTTAAATCTTTTTCTCTTGTGTATAAAAATTATATGTACTATAGAAAATTTGGAATAATACAGGAAAGAGGCACAAATATAGTCTGAGAGATATATCAAAATGTTACCAGCATTTATTTAAATTTTCTGTCTTTTTCTAATTTTTAAAAATTATACATTAGAATCATATTTTATATACAGTAGCTTGCTTTTTTCACTTATATTGTATATGGATATATGATCTTAAAATGCTTTTATGTTTTCACTCATGTTCCTGACTTTCTAGATCTAAAAGAACTCAGGCAGAGACCATTAAACTAAAGCGGGTCCATAAGGAGTTGCAGGCTTTAGATGACATGGTGTCAGCTGACATTGGAATCCTCAGGAATCGGATTGATCAAGCCAGTCTAGACTATTCAAATGCTCGGTGAGTTGGGGAAATTGTTCTCTGAACGAGGAGTTCGATTTAATTAATGTTATGCTCGCTTGGACAAGAATGTTTACGTACATCATCATTTAAGCCTCATAACAACCCCATTAGGCACTATTTATTCTTGTTTTGTATCAAATCAAGTGTGTCTCTTCTCGAATCTTCTTTTACTTTACCCTGCCCTTTAATCTTGTTCATATTCCTGTTAGAGTATTTCTTGCATTATTTATTAACATCTTAGTCTTTCCTGCTAAACCAGCGGGTATTTACTGTTTGGAACTCTAAATATCTGAATGACTTGCACCAAAACTCTAAAATCAAGTCTCTGCTCTTTCTATTAAGAAATTTTGATTGTCCGAGATTGTCCTTAGAGATTAGCCCAGTTCTCATTTCAGTTTTCATTAAAGAAAGATCTAGTTTATTTTTTTCAAGACTATGAGTATTTTAAAGAAAATACCACTCTTTCTTGAAAGCTTGAAGGTTTATTTTTTTTCTTTTCGATTGTTCTGTATGAAATGATTTGCTATCACATGTTTCCTTGGTTTCAACTATTGGCATTTTTTAAGAGAAAAAAATTATCATGGACTATTTTTGAAATGAACTGACACATGTAAAGAATTACGTGAACTTTGCAAACAGATAAAAAGGCAAAAAATTAAGTCCAATTTCAGGGTTTTCCAGTTCTTTCAATGTTGCTTTAATCATCCTGGTTTGTCTTTTTTCACAAGGGAATGCTGTGTTAATGACTCAGTTTTCCATCTTTCTCTGTAACACTAGAAGTCAATCAGAATGCCTCATTAGTTCAGGGTAAACCACAGCATCAGAATATTTATATAATAATTTAATAAGCGGAAATGCTTGATTGTGGTTTTTAATTCGCTGTTTATTGTTTAAGAAAGTGGTGGTGTCCCTGTGATTTTTGTAACTGTTGTTTGACTGTTTGCGATTAGACTTAATGAGTTGCCTTTATTAATTACCTGCCTAGATTAAAGCCATCAGTGGCTGATAACTGGAGATTCCATACTTCTACTGATAAGGTCATTCGGGAGGTGACCAAGATTTTGTTAAGATTAAACTAAGCCAAGATATTTAGCATGTTTTATTCTCTGTAACTGAAGATTGCCAGAGGAACATTTTTATGCCATTATAGCCTTTTACATAAATAATTCAGATTATTCTGGATACCTCGACAGAAGAATCACCTGGTCACATTTTAATTTTGTCTTAGAGGAGGCTGGAGAAGGATGGCTTTGTACATTGAACATTATATAAAAAATATCATAGTTTCAGCCTTCAGAGAACCACAAATGTGGGATTACTGGTTGAAGGAGAAAATATCCCACAGCATATAAACATTTTTAATGAAATTTTAGTAAATTTTTTATATCTTTTAACAAGCCGAAAATGGCATTTTCTCATAATGTAGTGATATTGACATGGCTGTATGTGAATATTCGTATTGTTTTCATGAGGCTATTTTTAAAAAGCCAAATGTGACTAGAAAACCAGGGTTGTATCTTGTTCATGCATAAGATTAAGACAACACTTTCTGAGGTACTGAAACATTTTAGATTGGTGATATAATGTTATGTTCTAGATTTCTACTGGAAAGTCATCCCCAGGGCAGTCAGTTTCTGTGGGAGATTTCCTTGATTTTTTTTTTTTAAATAAAAATATTATCATAGTTCTCTAGTGCCTGGTATAGTGCTATATCTACAAAAGTTTCTTGGATACCGAATAGTCCAGAGTTTCCTTTGGAATTGGCTTCTGTAGAGCAGTGTCAGGGTAGATACCCGCAAGGAGACCGGCACTTTGAGTGAGCCAGCTTGAGAGGGTTGCTGCTGCCGCTGCTGTTCACAGCTTCAGAGACAGTGCTGCCATGTGCTGTGCAGACCGGCTTGTAAAACCGAGCATGGCTGCATGTAGAACATCGCTTAACCCTCAACATACCAGGAAAACCAGTTATCACTCTTTGCCATCTATGTTTAATAGACACTCCCATGCACAAACACACACACACACACGTACATATATACATAATGTTGTAAGTCATTTTGTGAATAATTTAAAGAAGAATGAAAGGGATTGTGGAAAATAACTTTATTAAAAATTTTTATGAGTGTGTAAGCATGGCAGACCTCTTTGTATGAAGTAATGTTTGACTCCTAAAATTATACACGCTGAAAGAATGCAGTTGCAACACAGGACGGTCCAGAAACTTGTAGAATATTGTGTGATTAAGTTCTTCCTATCGAAATTAACTCTATGAAGATAACATCTTATTTTTATCCTGAGAAATGTATTTTTTACTCATTGATTGTTGAGTTGGAGAAAATACACCTAGGCTGTTTTTCTGAAGACTCGTACTCTGAGATTTTACTTACACTATCAGTTTCCCTATCTAGAATCTACACTTTCTGAGTCTGCATTTGTGTTGGTTCCTTAGGACTGCCATAAAAAATTACCACGAAGTAGGTGGCGTAAAGCAACAGAAATTTAGCCTCTTCCGTTTCCGGCAGCCAGAGTCTGAAATCAAGGTTTCGGCAGCGTCGCTCTTCCTTCAGAAACTCTAGGGAGGAAATCATTCCTTGCCTCTTCCAGCTTCTGGTGTAGGGGTTCCTTGGCTTGTGGCTGTACCACTCAGTTCCGCGCCTTCGTAGTCACACTGCTTCCTCCTTTTTTCTCAAAATTTCCTTTACCTCTTTCTTAAAAGGATACATGCTCTCGCATTAAGGGCCCAACTGGAAAATCAGAAATAAACGTCTCTCAAAATCTTTAACTTAATCATATGTTTTGCCATATATAATTTAATATTCTCAGGTTCTGGGGATTAGGAAGTGAATGTCTTTAGATGGTCATTTTTTAGCTTACCACAACATATATCTTTTGTCTAATAATTACTGCAAAGTGTCTTCATCTGTCAATTTGTTTTTACTTTGCCATTAGGGCAGAAAATGAAAAACATTAATTCTCAACTGTGTTCAGTGAAAGCCGAGAGCAGATTACAAATATGGTGTTTTAGTCTTTTATACCTTTTTGAAAAGTGATATAATACTTTGGACAACACAGTAAGGAAACTAAATGATGATGATTTGTTTCATTATAGCATAGTCTTTTTAGGTCATTTCATTATTCTCTTTTTTCTCATTTTAATTTTTTTAGCATAAATGAGAATAATCAATGAGTAACGAGGAAATAATTCCTAGGGTAACGAAATGGCAAAATGTTTCAAGACATAGGATAAATAATATCTCAATGATCCCGTAATATATCTTATATTTATAAAAAGATCCGGTGGACCAATATCATGATTACAAATTATGATTAGTTTTATTCTGTTTTTTTAAAATATAAGTAAATTTCCTCTTTGTTTTCTGGAAGACTTCTAAGAAAGGATAAAAAAAATCATGATATGTTGATCCTTACAAATAGTTATAATTGCTCAGAAAAAGAACTGAAAAACTAAAAGTGGGTCAGTGGAACCTAATGCGCCAAGGGTTAATGATCGAGTTTTTAAAATTGTCAGGGATACCAAAACCAAGACACAATTTCTAGAATCTTTTAAATAACATTCATTAAATCATTCAGCGCCCCTTTAAAATAACAAAACAATTCAATAACTACATTTCAGTTCAATTTGTCTTACTATGTTAAGTATAATGCTCCTATTATTCTGTTCCAAAATATGTCATCATACTCTGATTTGGTACAGCCACCTGACCCCCAGGCTCATAGTGCAGTTTGTGAAACTAATCAATATTTTAAACATAAATCACTCTGTACAGGAATATATATGCATGTTTCTGGGCAGAGGGACTTTAAATAAACAAAATGCAAAATCTTCAGTGATTTATCCAGAGTGAAAGATCTATGGAAACCCAGGGGCCTATTTGCAAATTTTAATTTCAATTCAGCATTCATGAGCCCAATCAGTAAATCTTTACCGACTGACTTTGACTGGCTGAGGGAGACCGCAGACTTGCAGAGAAAGGAGATTTGAGTGAGGGGAAGGGGCTAGGGATTCGTGTACATCTAGAGAATGTTGTCAGAGCTCTTAAGCTTGATGAGAGAACATTCAGAAAAAGATATGTTACCAAGTATGGAAATAAAGGGTCCAGAGAGCCAACAGAGCTCCTTTAGAATGGTTATTTTAACATAGGGGTAATTGAAAAAGAGCTAGTTTTCTCATTCTATTTACTAGATGACAGTAAAAAAAAAAAATGAAATAGGATAAATGAATGTTATGTAAGTAAGAGTTTTCAAATGTAAACACCGTATTCTTATGTTTTGCATAATTTTAATTTTAGATACATGTGTATTGATGTGCTAACCATGCTTTTCGATTCTGGTGCTTTGGAGGGAAGTTCGTTTCTTGCGTGCCTACTGGGCACTGCACTGCACACTTGCCCTGCTTATGCCGTCTGGTCCTTAACACTCCTCAGAAGCACTGTTACAGTCACCGTTTACAGACAAAGCAAGACTCCGTTGGAGAAACTTCCTGGGGTCGCTGTGCTGGAGTTCCAGTCATCTCATGCCTGTTCTCCGGCCTCTTCCACAGGAACCTGGCCATGTTTTGTACTCATGATGTTGACCCTAGGCACCCCTGATTAGAACAACAATTGGCTCCCTACTCCAGAATGTTTCATCCGTGGGCTAAACAGGGCTTCATAGCACTGCCTGGCACTGTGAGCTCTGTGTAAACTGGTATGAGTCAAGCCAAGCCAACCCAGGTCCTCCCTCTGGAATTTTGGAATTGGATCGTTGAGAGATTGAGTGGTGTGAATTTCATGTAGAGTCGCAGCTAGTGGCCATGTTGGACTGTCAGTGTGCTGGGAAAGCCAAAATCAGAAAAACCGTGGTTTCTACAGTGAAGAGGATGGCCTTTGATTCTGATGACATGCCTGTGAGAGCACCTCTTATATCCTACAGTAAAATCCACTTTTTATCTAAGCTAGTTTGACTGGGTATCTGTTCTTTACATCCAAGAAAAAGCCTTCACTGAAACCTGTATATGCGTAGTAAATAGCAAAGGCAGGTTTTGAACCCCAGGTTCTCTAAAATCCAAGCCTTTTCTTTTTCTTCTCTATTTCCCGTTAAGATGGAATGTTACATTAGGAGATATATCTGTTTCTTTCTTGCTATAACTCCAGCACTAGAAATTATTACATTGATTTGCATAGGTGGTTGCAACAGGTAAGGCAGCAACTGTTAGTAATTAAATGGAACAGTTAGTTGGTAGGTAGGGATCAAATTCTTTTCCTGACAAAAAGAAAAGCAACAAATTATATAGAAAAGGCAAAAGACAGTGAACCAATATGTGATAATTTTTTGTATCAACCTAATGCAAAAGAAAAAAAGATCATATGGTGACTTCCCCAGTAGAATCACCCTACTTCATGTAAGACCGGCATTGCCTATCTATAGATTTATATATCTGTAAATTTACAAAAATTTGTAATAAGTCTAGCAATAGTGTATTGTTGCAGAGGAATTCTCAAATGGGACATTTTTTTACTAGATGACAGTAATGGTGATGTTCTGGAGACATTTGGTGATGTTCTGGAGGCATTTGTAGTTATCTCTCGCAGAGGGCACTACTGGCCGCTAGTGGGCGGGAGCCAGTGACGCTGCACGCCCTACGCTGTACAGGACAGCTCCCATGACAAAGAATTGTCTGGTTCCAGGGGCCAGCAGTGCCAGTGTTGAGAAACCCACCCTAAACCTTTCCTGAAGCTTTCTGTTCTACTTGGTTTTTACTTCTTGCCTGCACCCAGTATCATTTGCTGGGTGTGCTCTGTCCCATCTCCCAACAACTGTCCATATCCTTCTCTACCAAAAATTTTCTCCTAATCTATTAATCAAGAGATACAGATTTCTCAACAATAAAAAATAATCTGATTAAAAATTGGGTAGAGGACCTGAATAGACTCTTTTCCAAGGAAGACATACAAATGGCCAACAGATAGATGAAAAGATGCTCAACATCACTCGTTTATAAGGGAAATGCAAATCTAAACCACAATGAGACACCTGTTGGAATGGCTATTATCAATAAGACAAGAAATAACAAGTGTTGGAGAGGATGTGGAGAAAAGGGAACCCTCGTACACTGCTATGGGAATATAAATTAGTGCAGCCGCTATGGAAAACAGTATGGAGGTTCCTTGAACGATTAAGAATAGAGCCACCATGTGACCTAACAATCCTTTTTCTGGGTATCTACCCCCCAAAATTGAAAACACTTGTTCAGAAAGCTATATGTGCCCCTATGATCATTGCAACATTATTCACAATAGCCAAGACATGGAAACAACCTAAGTGTCCTTTGACAGATAATTGGATAAAGAAGATGTGGAACACATATACAATGGAATACTTCTCAGCCATAAAAGAGATGAAATTTTGCTATTTGTGACAACATGGATGAATCTTGAGAGTATCATACCAAGCGAAATAAGTCAGACAGAAAGAACAAAAACCATAGGATTTCACTTATTATGTGGAATATAAAACAAAAAGCAACAAATAAACAAAGAAACTCATAGATAACAGACAACAGAACGGTGTTTACCAGTGGAGAAGGGGAGTGAGGGGATGATGAAGAAGGTAAAGGGGGTCAAATATACGGAAGGAGACTAGACTTGGGATGATGCGCACACAGCAGAGAACACAGATGTCATGTTATAAAGATGTACACCTGAAACTCACATATGTTATCATTAACCAACTTCACCCCAGTAAATTGAATTAAATAAAAAAGAGAGATTTTCTACTTTCTCATCTCTTACTATTTTACCTCTCAAATTTAACCAGCCGTGTACTGGAGCTAGCTTGCACTGATGCATGAGAGTGGATTTTGTACATCTTTTCCCAATTCTGCATTCAGCGATGTTACATTGATGCTTGAAATTGGCCATGCTGGTAGTATTTACACTACAGAAATCAGCAAACACTACAAATCAGGGCTCTTCTCCTCGGAGCTAGCACACCACTGAATCAATCCTCAGCCCGCTTTTATTCATTCGCAGCCTTGGAAAGAGGAAATGGGTGCAGAAGAATGTCGTCATATCAGGAAAGTCCAAATGTGGATGCTGTGGACGTTTGAGCAACAGTAGTTGGTCTAAGGTCTACTCTTGTAGACGAGAGTTCATAGAGTGTTAATATTCGTATCTTCATTATACATTGTTTCCAATTATGGAGTTTATTATTGTTTCTCGGCCCTCCTTTGAATATCTTCTTCATTGGAAAATTAATGGACCAATCTTTGTCCCTGTCCCTACAGGAAGCGGTTTGACAGGGCCGAAGCAGAGTATGTTACAGCAAAACTCGATCTACAGCGCAAGACTGATATTAAAGAGCAGCTCACTGAGCACCTTTGTACCATCATACAGCAGAACGAGCTCCGCAAGGCCAGGAAGCTGGAGGAGCTGATGCAGCAGCTGGACGTACAGGCTGATGAGGAGACTTTGGAGCTTGAAGTGGAGGTGGAGAGATTGCTGCATGAACAAGAAGCAGAAGCAGAGAAACAGATGGTTCATGTAGAGAGGCCGTTTGAGCCTTCTGGGGAGAGTGTGCCATTGGGGTCTGCTCAAGAGAACAAAAAGCATCAAAAACAAGCTGCCTCCCCAAAGGTAGATGAACAACGTGAGAATTCCAACAGCACTCCCCTTCTTACTCCAGACCCCCCAAATCGAGAAGCAAAAACTACTGTGAATGACATTGCAGCTGCTCTGACCTGACCACATGAAGGGCCAGTATTTGTTCTTTTCAGCTACTATGGTATTCAGTAAATGATGCAAACTTCTCTTGTAGATTATGCCGTGACCTCTGATAAATGCCTCTCTTAAACAATATTAATTTTAGAATCCGTGATTAGTTTTATGTTTGACCACTCTCAGGTCCTAAAGAATTTAAATATATGGCATAGTTCACCTTGATTTTGGTCCAGTTCTTTTAGTGTACCCTTATTTTGGGTGAAAACAAGTGACTTAAAAGGATAGAATTAAAACCACATGGTTAAGAGTGTTTTTAGACCAGGAAAATATAGAAAAGTAAAATGAAAAATGATAATACCTCATCAAACTCATTTAAATCCTGAGAGAAGTAATGAGAATGACAATCCTGTTTTACATCATTAGCAAAGAGACGCAAAACTTAAACGTGAAAAAGAATAAGAAACAACTAACAAAAGTAGTAGGTTAAATTATCTATTTGGATCTTTCTAGAGCTGCAAAACAACTTGGAAATTACAATTTATGTAAAGAACCAGACAACTTAAGCCCACATTACTTTTGTCTTCCATTTGCCTTTTAAATGGCTTTGGTTTACAACCAGAGTTTTGGTTAGTTGACACATACAAATGTATCTATATATAAATATGCCATATATAATTTTGCTATTAATATATTGTCTTTAATTAGCACGTTGATTAGTTAAATTTAGACAAAGCATTTCTACGGTGAGGCTGAAATTAATATAGAAAATGTTATTGCTGCTTTTGATTATGAAAAAACATTTTCTTTCTAAAGTTACCTGTAAATATGTGTTTTATATGTTGGATATAAATTATCCTGTCGTAAAGCATTTAAATTGTTAAAATGATGGTTTTCTTACTCCTTTAATACTTTATTACTGTCACTAATACTTCACCACTACATTGTATTATATGTGAATGTGTAAATATAGTTTTGTCACAAAATCTGTGCATATCATTAATTTCTGATGTATCAGGAATTCCAAACAGTAAAATCATACATTTTAAGTCTAAAAAGAAGAAATAAAAGAGGATAAGGATAAATGTAATATTGTATCTTTAATAGTTTCCAAAAAAATTGGGGACATCCTATTTTTAAATGAGTTTGAGAGTATTATTTTCTGGTAATGGAGATGAGCTTTTATTTTTATATTATGTAATTTGAGTTGAAATTATAGCTTTCCATTACTGACTTCTCTATACAGAGGCATTTATATAAATAGTTATGCTTTTCTTTATGGATGACATAAACTGAAAGCTTCATTGTCCAATATGGTCCTATTTTTCTAAGGAATAAATAAGTCCGATGCGTTCATGATGTGCTCTTTTGTTTACCTTTTTTTAAAAAAAAATTCACAGTTGAGTATGTGTTGTTAAGTGGTGTGTGGCAGTAAAGCGTCTGTGGTAGATACAATCATTGACTTTTGTATGAACCTCTGTTGGGGAAAAATTCATCAATAAATGAGGTTCTATAATATTGGCCAAATACGAATAGGTACAACCTAATTCTCAGTCTAAGTACTTTAAGTACTTATCATATAAGGTATATGCAGAAATGAGGGCCATGAACGAAATGAATTGGATGGCACCTTGGAGACCATCTGATTTAATTGTATTTTACAGATGAGGAATTTGAGAGTCAGAGATTTCACTTGGTCATGTTGGCCGACTGGCCTATTCTAAACTTAAAGCACTGTGAAGTCGCGATTCTGAACTCCTGGTATATCTCTTACAACCTTGACTTCTCTTGCAATGCCGACCATGAAGTTCACTGCATCCCTCCTCTTCAGAGCTTTGCTTCGGAACTCGTGCAGGAATTGCGTTTGTTCGTGTGAAAAAGCTTCGAAGTGTGCCAGTAAATGGTCCACTGAAATCGTTATTTTGGAAAACTTACCTTGCTTGGCTTTCCCAGGGTGGTGTCCAAGTGCTCAGGTGATGATATAAGTGACAAAGTGCTATTGCATCAGTTTGGTACAAGGCAGCTGTGGCCCATGTGTGCATGGAATCAGACTTGGGGGCTCACTGGTCTGAGGAGCATATGCACTGGCTCCTCCAGGATGGCCCTGATATCTTTTAAAACTATAAAATCCATTCTAAAGACTTTTGATATATGGATTCACAAACCCACAGCAATTGTTAGTTTCTGCGAAGGAAATTATTGGTTCAAAATTACTGCCATAAGTTTGTCGGGGCTCTTTGTAGAGCTGTCCCTTCTGTGGTAAGTCCCTCTTCTCTTCCATGCCTCAGATTGTTAGAGCATAAGGTTATCAGGGCTCTGAGTGATGGATGTGTAATTTAGGAGGTCACTGCTTCGTGTTATCTCGTGTTTTGTTTAAGAGTCTATTAAATTGTAGTAATTTTTACTCATTCTCTTAAAAAGCATACTCTGCAGAGTAAATGTGAATTCCTCAATTTTAAGAGTTCTTAAACCTTGATTCTCTACTACTTTCTTTAAATAGAGCCATTTTTATAGGTTCCAAAGAAGCAGAATTTCTTAAAACGCAGTTCACATCGCATTTAAAATAAAGACAGTTGTTCTCAAGTTTTTCATCTCTGCATAATTCTACTGAATTATAGCAGTTGCAGGTAGTGAATCTTTGTACTCACTGAGAGCACAGCTGGTTTCCAAGACAGATGATAAAAATCTGATTGGAATTCCTAGAACATATTTCATAGCTGGGTTGGCATTTGAATTATAGAGTAAAACTCAACTATAAACCTCTTTCATTCTTTGTTTGGATTTAGCTACATAGTACTCTCAAGGAGCCTTACCTAAGTATTCAGCGACTTCCTCTTCCGAGGCATTGGCACAAGACGAACTCAAGTTATTCTGACCCAGGCCATTCCCAGTGACCTTTATGAACGATGTTTTGGGTTTTGTATTTCTAAGGAGCCAAGTCAGCATTTTAAAAGTCCCTGATAGATATAAGTCAGTCTGCCAGACAAGACCTGGGGCCACGCTGGACCAGGGTAATTATACCCTTTCTCGACATAGATCTACCCCAGGCCTGACTTGAACTACTCTCTGGAGGGATGAAGCAGGACAGCGTTTTCCAGTCTGCCTTCACCTTAATGTCAGGCTACTTTTGCAAGCTCCTAATCTCAAACAGCTGTCTTAAAAATGCAACATCATCTCTATGCAATTGCTCAAACAACTGTATAAAGCTACGTATATGGACAGAGTTATATAAGGGGTGTATGATCCGTGCCTTTTGTCTCTGAGAAGCCTGTATTCTACTTGAAGGACTAGATTGACATTCATCAGCCCAAGGCTGATACAGAACATGGTGTCTTATTGATGGGAGGCATAATAAGTGGTTGGAACACTGAATATGGATGCATCCTTCAAAAGTTCCAAATTTGTAGAACAGTCCTAATTTTAAATATTCTATCCAGTTTTTGCTATCTAAGAATGTATCTAGGACCTGCTGTGTCTTTTAATTTGCCTTTAGCGCTGGGAAGCAACACATATAGAACTAAACAACAACAAAACCCTCTGTTAGACGGTGTGTCCAGATTTTGAGTTAAAAATTATAGTCACCAGAGCAAGAGTAAATTGGAAAACGGGGAGGTTTTTGCATGTCACTGATTTAAAATAGTGGGCCCACTGGGATTTATCAGTGCAAAAAAGACAAACAAACATCAAATATTGGAAAAATTAACTTTAAGCATATCCCTTTCTGACAAAGAGTTGATAGCATTTTCTTATGCGGAGAATAGCATAATTACGAGGGCTCATTACAATAATTCAAGGTGTTGCCGAACCAAGGGGCAGTAATTATCGCCCAAGCCAGAATAAGATGGAAATGGAACAGACTGGTGTGAACTCAAGGATAACTCAACATGGATGCATGTTCAAAGTCACACATAAGAGAGGTCTTGCCAAGCCAAATGGCTTTAGGAGCCTAAAATAGAGCCATAATTAAGCAATAAGACGTGACAGGGAGCACATTTCTGGGTGATTATAGCATGCCTCAGGGATAAGTCACTAGGCCATGGGTTCATATGAGGAGTGGAATAACAACCCTGCAATGTATAGCATCATGCTGCTAGAGGGAATAGGAGGGGGAAATTAATAATGGGAGTTAGGAGAGACGTTCTGTAAGCTGTCGCTTTAGTCACTGCGTAATTCTGCCTTGTGTCTCGGACCTGTGGCCACTAGTTGTAACCAGCATCCTGAAGCTCTGTATTTACACCAGAGCCTTCTCTTACTTTATAACCCAGCAGAACTGTCCATCTTCTCATTTTCTTAGCCAGGCTCGTTTGTGTTTCTAAGACACAAACAAACAAAGTCCATAGCCATAGATATGGAACTACGGTCCAGTAGAATCGTAATTGCAGTTGCTTAGACCTGGCTTTTGTAACTGAAAAAAAAAATGGCTGAAGCAGTCACATCGAGTCATTCTTAATATTTTGGCTCATTTGTCTCATGTTGCGTCTCATGTTGTGTTTCCTTCAGAAACGCCCACTAGACATGGCTCCTGTGTCACAGAGGTGCAGAGATACACGGTGCTGCCGGTGGTGGCAGAGCAGGCGCACAGTGGGGCTAGTGACTTAAACTGTGCGCTGCTGGAGGCGGGCCTTTCCCCAGATGAGAGGCGAGGCACCCAGGGGCGGTAAGGTGAGGCGGAAATCTCCCAGCTCTGACAGATGCCCTCCTCAGAGCCCTGCAGATCAAGGCGATGCCTTATTGCCAGATTCCTCTGTGTTTCTGTGATTGTTAGCACTTCAGAAGAGAGTTTAAAAAATTCTGACCCAAACTCAGAGGACAAGATTTGCCATGGTCTTTAACGTCTGCCGTGGCGCAGGCTGGGGCCATTCTGCGGACAGAATTCGGGACAAACAGTGGCTTTCCTTAGACAGCCCCGCCCCTCTGTCTGGTTTACTCACTCTACACTCTTCCTCAAAATCTGCCCTTCAGAATTCCTGTGTTGAAAGTTCATCCCAGATGTGAGGGTGTCAGGAGGTGGGTGGGCCTTTGGAAAGTGATTAGGTCCCCAGGGTGGAACTCCCATCAATGAGATCGGTGCTCTAGTGAGAGGCCCTGGAAAGCTCCTGCCCCTTCTATCATGAGGACAGAGAAAGAAGATGGTTGTCTGTGAGCCAGGAAACTGGTCCTCACCAGACACTGAATCTGCCAGCACCTTGATCTTGGACTTCGCAGCCTGTAGAACTGTGGGAAATACATCTCTGTTGTTTGTAAGTCACTCGGTCTACAGTATTCTGTTATAGCTGCCCGAACAGACCGAGACAACAGTTTTGGGGAAACTAAGTCAGCAGGTTACTTTTCCCAAGCTTGTCTACACTTTAACGTAGTGGAAACTTTTCAAGTGATGTGTTTTAACTAGCGCGTGGAAATCTCGACCCCCAGCTAAAGGAATTTCAAGCCTCAGAGCGCAGGCATGTGATCCGGGAATCGTGCACAGCTTGAGATCCTGAGCTCACGCCCGACTGCATGAGCTGAGAAATGAGTCTCTGAAGGCTCGCCCATGCCATACTCTTTATTCGCGAAAGATGACCCCAACCTGTCTTCCCCCAGCTTCCTGTTGCTAATGGGACACGTCCTTAGGGAAGGGAAACTGAGTCTGCCATTCTAGCCAAATGTACCACTTACTATGGTTGCATAATAGACCACTCCATAACTTAGTGTCTTCAGTCAGACACCACTTTTGTTTGCTTATGATTCTGTGGGTCAGTAATTTCCTGTAGGCTCAGCTGGGAGATCTGATCCTGTTGGGGATCGGTGGCTTTCCTGGGCTGGAGGGTCTCTTATCCTTCAGAGGGCCAGCTTGGATTTCTATTCATGGGGGTCCCAGGGTTCCAAGATGGCAAGAGTGAAAGCTGCAAGTCTTCTTGAGACCCGGCTCAGCAGTCACACATCACATCTGTTGCATCCCAGTGATCAAAGCATGTCATAAGGCCAGCCCAGATTCACGGTGTGGTGAAGTGGACTCTACATCTTGATGGGAGGAGCGGGACAGTCATGTTGCAAAGTGACATTTTTGTAGGAGTGAGAGGAATTGTGCCATCTTTGCAAACAATTTACTACATCAGCGCCCCCTTGCAACAGTTATTCACATCCAAGCCAAGAGCAGAGTTCACTCACCCACCCCCCTCCAAAATCTCATCACACTCAATTCACGTGGGTTACATCTTCAGCATCCTTTGGACCAGGCTACAGGAGCCCCCCAGTCCGGCTCTCCCCTGACTACTTCTGTACCTCTCTCAGGGCCACCAAAAATATTAGGCTCACCTCCCTTTCCCCACTGGGGCCACGGAAAACCCTCCAAAACAGCGCACACCGCTTTGCTCTAGTTG